CTACTTCCGTAGTGATACTGCCTCGGAAACCCAAGGAGGGGTCGCTATGAGTCGGGGCCGACTCGACGGCACATAACAACAACAACAACAAGCAGTTCTAAGCAAAGCCTTCTTATTATATTCTTCCCTGTCCCACCCTCAAATAAAACCTAAAATGAACCTGCGGGAGTTCTTGATAAATAGCCTGAATAAGAACCATGTCTTCCCAGCAAGGCAAGTTTGAGAACTACTAGGTCAGGGATAGAAGTGCTCTGAAGAGTCCAGATGACATGAGAGCAAATTCCTGCTGTTGCAGTTTCAAGTAATATTCATTACTTCTAAACAATAGGGATTCCTCTAAAATTGTATTTATAATTTACAACCTAGTCCTTAAGGCATCCTTTCTCATGCTTCTTGAAACTAGTCTTCAGTCTTAAATTCCCACTGGACTACAAAAATACATTTACTTCCCCTGCTTACTGTGACCTCTAATCGACTACCCAGCAAAAAAGTTAGAAACAAAATTAAAACCTGATTGGTCGGAATTGATGGATAATCCTTTGAAGTCCCAGGCCATACTCTAAAACCAGGATTGGAACTTTTCCTTTTCCTCTACTATTAGAAATAGGATTTAAGAGACAGGGGATTGACAGCAGTTACTTAATTATATTAGGAGACCAGGAAGGGCTTTAAAACTACCAGGAACCCTCTAATAAAGAATATACAATTTTCATTTTTATATCATATTATTTTGGGAAAAATAAAACCATTTTGGAGGAATTCTGGTGGTGCAATGGTTAAAGCCTTCACTGGTAACCATAAGGTTGGTGGTTCATACCCACCAGCCACTCCACAGGGAGAAGATAAGACAGTCAACTTCTGTAAAGATTTATAGCCTTGGAAACCCCATGGGGCAGTTCTTCTCTGTCCTATAGGGTCACTATGAATCAGAATTGATTTGATGACAGTGAATTTGATTTTTGGTTTTTTTAAAACTAGTTTGTAAGAAATAATAATACAGAATACAGTGTCGTTGATTATACTGGAAGAGCTTTAAAATACAAAATAAAGTAAAACATTTTTTAAGATCTCTCATTTGAAAAAGTATTTCTTGATAAATAAACCGTTTGTTTTTGTCTGTTGATTCTTTAGGATAGTAAATGAGCAGCTACAGCGGTCACTTGATGATTATCAACACCGACTTACAATCAAAAGAGGAGAACTTGAATCAGCCCAAACACAAATTAAGATACTAGAGGAAAAAATAGGTAAGTGTTTTTAAATTCACTACTATTACAGTTATTTTGTTAATCCTACTTTACTCTAACAAGCTTTTCTTCTCATCTACAGATAAACTAAACTTTAAGGTGACTTCACAGGATCAGGAGACTAATGTAATGAAAAAGACCATTGGTGTCATTGATAAAGAAAAAGACTTTCTTCAGGAGACTGTAGATGAGAAGACAGAAAAGATTGCAGAATTAGAAGAAAACTTAGCTAATAAAGTAATGACTGTTAAATATCATTATCTGAACCCTCGTATTCAAGTTCCTAAGATCCAAGACCATGTCTTTGAATATATTTAGTATATTAAATACTTAGCGTACTTAATATATTATAAATATTTTTGAAAAAAGCCCTGGTGGTTAAAGTGCTCAGCTGCCAACCAAAAGGTCAGCAGTGTGTGCCCACCAGCTGCTCTGTGGGGGAAAGATGTATTTTTGAAAGGATAATAATTCATCGTAATCCCCGTAATTTGAACCTTGAAAAGTCTCCCCATATCAGATCTTATCACAGCAAACCATTCAGATTCTCAGGGAGGGCAGGAATATACTGACATGTGAAGTACAATTGAGACTAGGAAATATGTTTACTTATAACTTTCTTTTATGGCATAATTTATATAATTAGATTTGAACTAAATAGATGTGGTAAATTATATAACTTCCACTAAAGACATTTCTATATGAATGGTCTAGACTCTTACATATTTTCTTAATTCCTGTAGGAAAAAAGTATTGCTCATATGAAGATAACAGTAGCAGAGTATGAATCATCTATGAAGTAAGTAATCAATGAAATGGCATCCAGATTTTCTATAAAGTTTTAGTTGAATACAGAGATATCTACTATATAAGTAGCAGTCAGGCAGTAGGAATATTTCTTTCTTCAACTTCCCCATGCTGTTTTGAAAATGGCAGCTTCATTTTCTCGGTCTCCTTGGCTTGAAAATGTAATAATCTTCTTTAACTTTCTCTCTTTCTCTGTCATCCACATCTAAACACTTAAGTCTTGTTCATTTTTCTTTTACATATCTTGTGTTAGGCTGGGTTCTCCAGAGAAGCAAAACCAGTGTGTTGGATTGGGTTCTCTAGAGAAACACAAAAACCAGCAAAGTATATATATATATATATATATTTATAGAGAGAGAAAGAGAGAGAGAGAGAAATTTATCTTAGATAAATGGCTCACAAGCATGTAGAAGCCGACAAGTTCAAGCTGAAAAGTTCGTCTCTGGAGGGGGATGGGGCCCAGGGCCGTCTGGCTTTCGCACGCACGGCAGAGGAGTTCAAGTCACAAAGTTCGTCTCTGGAGAGAGATGGGGCTCGGAGTCGTCTGGTTCCCATAAGCACAACAGAGCCGAGAGAATCAAGCTGACACACAGTGCGCTGGTCGCTGTTCCCAACAAAGAATGAATCCGAAAACCTCCAGGGCGAGCAGCGAGCTGCTCGCTCCAGGAAGTATATAGTCCGGAATGCCGTTCTTCCAGTTTGTCCCTGGGATAGCATTGCAGGTAGGCCACACCCCTGGGGAAACTCCCCCTAGGCCGACCGGCCGCTTAGAACGCAGTCATGTGATCCATCATGGGAACCACCACTCACAACTGGAGTCCAGCCAAGTTGACACATCTTCAACTATCACAACCAGTAAAGCTTATAGAGAGAGAAAAAAAAAATAGGAAAATGGTCTACACACTTATAGAAGCTGGCAAGTCCCAAGTTCTTGGATCGAATGTCAACCTGGAGGCTTTTCCCAACTCATGCAGCTGCAGGGGCTGACAAGCTTAATGTTGGCAGGCAGTGTACTTACTATTGACTTCAGCGAATGACGAATCCAATATCACCAGGCCAAATGGTGGATTGTTCCATCATGGACAGTTGTAGGCAGCACAACAGGATCCTGATCCACAGAAGAGTGTCTCTTTTCCCAGGATGTCCATAAATATATTGGAAGCAGGCCACAGCCCTAGGGAAACTCCTTTTCAGCGGTTTGGCTGCTCAAAACATATACATCCAATCTCATCATGGGAATAACCCACATCACAACTGCTTGAACCACTCAGAATTGTGATGCAGCCAAGTTGACACACAACTCCAACTATCACATACCTATTGTGTGTTATAAGCCAATTCCAACTCATAGTGACTGGATATGACAGAGTAGAACTGCCTCATAGGGTGTCCTAGGCTGAAATCTTTATGAAAGCACATTGCCAGGTCTTTTCTCCTGCAAGTCACCAACCTTTCAATTAGCTGCATAGTGCTTAACCATGGCATCACCAGGGCTTCTTTTTACATACCTACTTCCTCTCTATTTCTACTGTAATTACCCTGTTTGAGTCCTGATCATTGAAACTTAGATTACTTGAATAGCCAGTCTTGAATGTGTTGTCCATCTAAACCTATCTGAAACAGGGGTACAGAATTCTACATCTTATGTCTGGTATCTCCAGAGAGATTGTAAGCCATTTCAAGATGATAGTCCCTAGTTGTATTTACGTTAGATACCCTTACAGCATTTTATATAGTTGTTGTTGTTGTTATGTGCCATCAAGTCGGCCCCGACTCATAGCAACCCTTCCTTGGGTTTCCGAGGCAGTATCACTACGGAAGTGGATTGCTCAACCTTCCTTCTGAGGAGTGACTGGTACATTTGAACCGCCAACCTTCTGGTTAGCAGTCAAATGCCTTAGGCACTATGCTACCAGAGCTCCCATTTTATATAGTAGTACAACTTAAACATTTAATAAATATTTGCCAGTTGAATCTTTTGTTTTATTTTATTTTATTTTATTACTTTATTTGCATATTTTATTACTTTATTTGCATATAATGTTGGTAGATACCTGAAATATCTGCATTACTTAGTTGATGTGTAATTAATGCAGTAGTCATAATTTCTTGTATTCTTAGCATACTTAATTTAGAGTAAAACAATTTTTTTATAAAAGTAACTACAGTTTTTTAAAAAAAATTTTATTATCTCCACATCACTCATTCCACAGTCATCTAAAGGATACATTGACTAATCGAGACCGTGAGATAAGCAGCCTCCGACGCCAGCTTGATACAGCTCACAAAGAACTTGACGAAGTGGGAAGATCTAGAGAAATTTCTTTGAAGGAAAACAGAAGATTACAAGATGATCTGACTACAATGGCAAGAGAAAATCAGGTATGAACCCAATGAATAAACTCTGATGATAATATAGTAGCTTTTTAAATTTTAATTTTAAAGCTCTAAATATTTTCTAAAGATTTAATGATATAAATATTAATAAATAGAATTATTATTCAAGGAGAATGTAATTTATCAAGATGTTTTAAAGTGTGGCTTAGAATTCTGCTGTATGTAACAGGGTGTCTAATGGGTACAACTAGATCTCTCTACTATTTTGATCTTTGTTGCAAGGAATCCTAAAGATGGCAGCATGGTTTTCTCCATTGCAAGAAATCATTTTTACTCTGCGGGGGTGAGGACCTTACGACCACTCCCAAAACAAAGTTTCTGTGTTTTAAAGACCCATGATATATTTTACTTATTCATGCTTAGTTGCGTTGGCTTAAAGGTATACTTACAAATAAATTAATGAGTGTTTTAGAATGGAAAATACTGATAGTTACTGGTTTTGTTTGTGTTGGTTTTGCTAAAGTATTATACCAAGAAGACTAATGATTTTGCTGGTTTAAATATTTTACTTTTTTAAAAAATTACTTTCAATATTATTCATTGGGAAGCATATTACTGATAAATGAATCAGGAAATGTCAACCCTGACTGTAACTAAATCTTAGTGTGAATGCCAGATACATGGTCAGGGCTTTCATGAAAGATACAGTTTTGGTTAAAATGTCAAGATGAATAAGGAAAAAAGTTCTCCTTTTCTCTCATATTCCCCAAATTCCAGAGAAGCTATTTAAAAATAACAGGACTCATTAATTAGTTGCTATGTTTGTTTCAGTTTTGTCTTCAATTTTTTGATTTATAGGAAATCTCATTGGAATTGGAAGCAGCAGTGCAAGAAAAAGAGGAAATGAAGAGTAGAGTTCATAATTATATAACTGAGGTGTCACGATGGGAGAGCTTAATGGCTACGAAGGTAAAAAATACATTTTTAGGTTGGATTTAAGATTTTGTTTTGTTCATTTTCAGCTTTTCTGTATTTGTTTATTCTGTCTCCCCTTTTAGATTTTAAACATGTAAGAGCAGAGAGCTTGCCTACTATCTTTATATTTTCCTACAGGTCTTAATATAGTATCTACTCAGATACCTTATACTTTCTCAAGAACAAAAATCTGAACTTGTGTGTGTGTTTATAACATGGTGTTGCAATGAGTGACAGTTACTAATTCAGAAATAATTTCATTATACTTAAACCAGGAAAAAGAAAATCAGGATTTGTTAGGTAGATTTCAGATGCTTCATAACCGTGCTGAAGACTGGGAGGTAAAAGCCCATCAAGCTGAAGGAGAAAGCAGCTCAGTTCGACTCGAACTTCTTTCTATTGACACGGAGCGGAGACACCTTCGAGAAAGAGTGGACCTATTAGAAAAAGAAATTCAGGAGGTAATTTTATCTTATAAAGACATAATTTAACAAAACAGAAGATGTTCAAAGACACTTTATCAAAGCAAACTAGTTCTCCTCATTGATACAATCAAGTTCTAATGGTAAAAATTTTTGTTACTGATTCTAATAATTTTATTAGGTACCTCATTACTTTTTAACATGAATTTTCTCCTGTTAATTTAACTATAGTCTTACTTTTGGCCCGTTTCTTTCTACTTGCTGACTTATTGGAGTAGGAGTTTTCAATTAGCTCTGATGCTTTCTTTTTAAATCAACTTTACTGAGTAGTTTTCTTAAAATAACAATGTAGCCATTTTTAGTATATGTATGATGAGTTTTTACAAGTGTTTATACTCATGAAATCTCTACCAGGATCATGATATAAGACATTACCACAAAAAGTTTCTTAGTGTCCCTTTACAGTCAGTCCCCTCAGCACCCTGGGCCCCCAGGCAACCATAGCTGTGCTTTCTTTCACTAAAGATTAGTTTTCCTTGTTCTTAAATTTCATATAAATGAAATCATGCATTTTGTGTTCTTTCATGTTTGGCTTGTTTGTTTCAGCATAATGTTTTTAAAGTTTATACATGTCATTGCATGAATCAGAAATTTGTTACCTTGTTTTCACAAAGCTGTTTTCTACTGCATGGATAACTCAACATTTTGTTTATCCATTTGCCTGTTGATGGATAATTGGGTTTTTTTTCAGTTTTGGGCCATTGTAAGTAGAATTGATATAAACAGTCACATACAGATTTTTCTAAGGGCTTTTATTTCCTTTTGGAAAAATACCTATGAATAGAATTGCTATATTATAACCTGTTTAAAAGAAACTTCCAGAACTTTCACCTAATACCTAAGTTTTACCATTTGATAATTCCCTTCTAACAATGTACGAGAGTTCTGGTTGCTCCACATATTCTTCAACCCATGGTAGTATATCTTAAAAGTTTTAGTTATTCAAATCAGTGTGTAGTGGTGTCTCATTGTGGTTTTAATTTTCATTTCTCTGATAATTAGCAGTACTTAGCATCTTTTTATATACTTTTCAGGAATTTGTAAATCTTTTGTGAAATATGTGTTCAGATCTTTTGCCTACTTTTTCAATGAGTTGTCTTATTACTTAATTTAATGCTAGATAAAGGTACTTTGTCAGAAATATAGATCTGAAAGTCTCCTGAGGTGCCTCTGGATAGACTTAAACATTTGGTTAGCTGTGGAGTACTTTAACCGTTTGCCCCACTAGTTCATATTAGTGGATTTAAGAAAAATGATTTAAGAAATCTTTTCCTGGAGAAGGTGGAGCACAGCCAGCAAGATGGCGCCGTCCGTGTTGCTGCGCCCCTTCTCCCGCCTGCTGCCCCCCCGCCCGGTTCCCCAGCAGCTTTTCAGTGAGGTCAAAGTTCTACGTTAGGGAGCCGCCGAATAGCAAACCTGATTGGCTGAAAGTTGGATTAACCTTGGGCACCACAGTCTTCCTGTGGGTCTGTCTCATCAGACAACATAATCAAGATGTTTTAGAATATAAAAGAAGAAATGGGTTGGAATAAACTATTGAAATGCTAATATAGTGCGTACCATACAGTAATTACAGCAGGTCCTTTGGATTCACCAATCTTTTGCTTGTAAATAAGAGAGGAAAAGTTACATGTGAATATATATTGCTAGCATTTTTGTGCTGTATCATTAAGCAAAAAAATAAAAATATTTCTGTGTTCTTCAGATAATGAATATTGTGATAACTTGCAGAAAATGTCAATTCTAAGGTATAGTATTAGAAGTATTTTAGTATGGAAGATAAGTTATGTTAAATGTGCAAGATGTGCAAGTTGAAAAATTTAATCAAACAAAATTCAATGTAAATCCAATCTACTACCTAATGTTGAATACTTGTAATGAATTTTAGAACATTGGTTTCTTTTACTATCTGATAATAGAATCAATAGTGAAGACATTGGTAAGAAACCTTCTTAGAAAAATGGATTCAAGAATCACTGCTGAAGTCATTTAACAACTTCTGATATCTAATTGAAACGTTTATTCTTTATTATATTGGGGGGCTAAAAATAATCTATTACCCAAAATATAAAAGAGCCCAAATACTGTTTTCTTCTAGAGGAGGTAGTTTGGTAGAACAAAAAGTAAAGATGAGTTCCTAGTACCAGGCTGCGGCCCAGCCTTTCCTTTTTGGCAGAATTATAATCTCAAGGTCAGAAAGGCCATGTGTAAAAAAACTCACTGCATTGCAGACACTAAATTTTTTAAAAAAAGTCTTTCTGATTTTAATCTAATAAGCTTGATTATGATTGACACATTAAAAAAAAAAAAAAAATCTTTTCCTGCCCCAAGGTTGCAAAGATTTACATGTACAATTTCTAATAGTAGTTTTATAGTTTTGGTTTTACATTTAGGCCTATAATCTATTTTGAATTAATTCTTGTGTCTGGTGTGAGGTGTGTGCTGCAGTTCGTTTTGTTTATAAGGATATTCATTTCTATCATTTGTTGAAATGACTCTCCCCCATAAAATTGATATTCTCTCCCATTTAATTACTTAGGCACCTTTGCCAAAAATCAATTGATTATATATGTGAGTCTATTTCTGGACACTGTTCCATTCTATTGATCTAAATGTCTCTTCTAGTGCTAGTAATGTACTTTGATAATTATTGTAGCTTTAAATCTACAATAAATGGGGTAGTTTAAGTTCTTCAACATTGTTATTTTTTTTTGAAGATTTTTTTGACTGTTCTATATTGTTTGTATTTTCATATAAATTTTAGAATCAGCATCTTAATTTCAAAAAAACTTGAATTTACTTGGTTATTGCATCGAATCTGTAGGTCATTTTAGAGAGAACTGACTTCTTAACAATATTGCATCTTCCACTCTATGGGCATAGTATACTTTTTTTATTTTTTTGTTGCTGTATGTTACCAAGTTGATTTTTGACTCATAGCGACCCTATATGCTAGAGTAGAACTGCCCCATACATTTCGTAGCCTGGGAGCAGATTTCCAGGTCTTCCAAGGACCCACTGGGTAGATTCAAACCACCGGCCTCTCAGGTAACAGCCAGGTGCTTAATTGTCACACCGCCAGGGCTCCTTCAAGCTTTGTTAGAGTAGGTCTAAAGTAGACTTGACTTAGCACTAGCTTAGCCCTGTTACTAAGACATGACCTTCCCAGTATCTCTACTGAGTGCTCTTGGTTTCCATCAAGGTCTGTCCACTCTGGCTAGTTGGAATTCGGATGTCTGCTAGCTCTGTGTAAGCTCTGAGAATTGTTCAGTTCCCAGGTATTTTCCCTTGCTAGGCCTCATGGAGTTTATGTATGCTCAGCTTAGAATTTAGCTGAAGATTCCAGGGAACCCAGTGCAGATTTCTGAAGCTCTTTTTCTGTGCTGCTCCCCTCTGTGATACTTTTTCCACAAATCTCTTGGCCCCTATGAACTCCCTGTGTCTATTTCAAATGAGTAAATGCTCTGTTCTGCTTGGTTTCCCTGCTATGTCCTACAGTCTGTAAAGTGCCTGCCTATAGGCAGGAAGCAAAGATCATCTTAGGGTTTGCCTCATTTGTTTCTCTTTGAAACAGCAGAATCTTGTGTTACTTGACTAGTTTCTAAAAACAGGTGTGTGTATGTGTGTGTGTGTATGTGTGTATACATATATTTTGCACACATAAATGAGTATATATTTTCATTTATTGAAAAAGAAAGAAAGAAAGAAAAAACACTGCTATCAAATCGATTCTAACTCATAGCAACCATATAGGACAGAGAGAACTGCCCCATAGCTTTTCCAAGACTGTCAATCTACAGAAGCAGTCTGCCTCATCTTCCTCCCACAGAGTGGCCATTGGGTTCAAACTGCTGACCTTTTCACAAGTAACCAAATACTTTAACCAGTGCACCATTAGATTTCCTACTTGGCACATAGTAGATTGCTAAAAAAACTTACATATGTTGACTTTTGGTTTTGTTTTATTGGCATGGTTTTGTAGTTTTCATTTTTCAGTAGTATTGACTATCCTATAAACAATTCTATTAAAAAAAATGTAAGTAATGAAAGGAATGTTTTTCAGCCTTCAAAAGAATTCCTCAGAAGAAACCACCCTTTAATTCTTTTGGTCTTTGTCATTGTTCAAATTTTTATGCTGTATATGAAATTTGTTTTTACCTATTTCATTTAGTTTGTTTTAGGGAACTTTAATTAATTCATTAATATTTAGAATATTCATCTATTTACTTTTCTGAAACTGTTGACATTTGCTTAATTCTTCAAGGCTCAGATTTTTCTTGTTGATTCATTTCAGTAAAGTCTATTGAAATAATTCCATTTCTCAAGTGTGGAATTCTTCCCAAAACCTAGAAGTAGAGTTTATATCGGTTTATATTTATTGCTTGAAATTGTGAGGAATTTGAAATGTTGATAATTCTGGACAATGAAATTTTTATCAGTATTTCAAATTTTTTTCATTTCAAATTTATTAAAAGTTTATGAGGTATTGTATATTAACTTAAATAAAATTTAACTATGACATTAAGTATTTAGTTTTACATGTATGAAATTGTGAATTTATAGTAAAGACAACTGGGCAGTGATAAGTACATATGTTACTTTTTCTCAAAAAGGTATTCTGTTTTACTTTTTTTTTTTTTTTTTGCAGGTGCTCAAGTCGTTTGTGTTTTATTAAATGTTTAAATATTGATTAAAATGATTCCTGTTCCATATTTTACAATGAAATAACCTACATTTTATGTACCTCAGAAAGGTATTCTTATAACAAAACTTATAAAGGGAAATTGAATGTAGGTTCAAAATTCCCTTATATTCACAACACGCTAACACAATAATTTTCATCTTCCAAATGCATACATTAATGTACTTAGTTACCACGATTAGTAATTCAGTACAATTCCTTTTATAAAGCATTGTAACAGGCCATCTTTAAATAGCAGGAAACATCCAAAGAGCAAAAATTGACTTTCGTATTTTACATATTTTATCTGTAGCTGCACAGATCCAAACCTTTGAAGTTACTGGATTACTTACATTTAACTTTTTACCTGTTTCTTTCTCTTTTCCCAGCACATAAATGCACATCATGCTTATGAATCTCAGATCTCATCAATGGCAAAAGCCATGTCTAGATTAGAAGAAGAACTTAGACATCAAGAAGATGAGAAGGCAGCAGTATTAAATGATTTATCGTCTCTTAGAGAACTTTGCATTAAGCTTGATTCAGGCAAGGATATTATGACCCAACAATTGAATTCCAAAAACCTTGAGTTTGAGAGGGTAAGAACTAAAAAAATACTGTTACAGCACAGTGTTTTATTAAGCCCTGTTCTAATTATTTTATTTATTGTTCGCCATCTGATATGTCTTTTCCCCTTGACTACAGGATTTTGACAACTAGATTTGACTATTAGATTCTTCTCTAAGACTTCTTATAAACATGGTGATGAAATTTGGTGCTCCCTGTTTTGGGGGTAGATAGGAATTTAGAAGAATATGAATCTTTTCATTATAGATTATAAATGAGAAACAAATTCCAGTGCATTTCTTTCTTTAAAAATAAGACTTGATAATTATGCCTTTTCAAATAATAAAAGAATGTAAACATTAGCAGGAGAGTAATTTCTATAACAAGACATGTCTTTAGGGATGGTCTCAAATCACTCTGTGTTTAGTAGGACTTTGAATGAGGACTGAAGCCATTTATTGCTTTCTAAGTATTTTTTTTATGATAAAATCTCCAAGAATTTATATCTACATAATTTTCAAAGCCTAGTTAGCGAGAATTTCCCGTTCCCAAACTGAAGCATTATTTTAAATGAGGGCTTTCATCTAGCTCAGTCATGGTCAACACAAAGAAGTGAAAACACACCCAAAATTTATAAAATGTGGGTATATATCAACAGTAACCAGAATGGGGAAAATTATGGGTCAAGCCCTAGAGTGGGAGACCCAGAAGAGGCATAGTGAGCCCTTTCAGGAGCCTGATGCCAGTGATGAGTGGTACAGTTGGCCTCCATCTTTGAACTAGGTACCACTGTTTCCATCTCTGCTGGTTAAGGATTTGGTTGCTGTACAGTGTGCACGCCACCCATGTTTTCTAAGAGGGAAATTAAGTTTCTAGCAGGGTGTCAGCCTATAATTTTACCTGTTCCAGTTATCATTCTAATATACTCACATTTTAAAAATTCAGGTCCATTCCAGTTTTGCTTTGTCAGCCATGACTGAACCAGGTAGAACCAGTTTGAAGCCCTGCTTTAAGCAACCCATTGTGTGTTTTCAAAAATGAATGTTTTCAATTTTCACTCATCTAATAGTATATTTTCAGTTACTGAGAAGCTGCAATACTGGCTTGATAATTTAGCCAGAGTGCACATATTTAATAGTTCAGAAGGGCCTTGTTGCTGATAGGCCAGTGTAAAAATAGCATGATGGCAGCCTCAGACGCACTCTAACTCATAAAGGAGAAGAGAATCAGGATCAGCATCAGCCCATGCCTTATTTCTGTGAGATGGAGCTCAGACAGACCTCCACCCTCCAGCTTTTTTTTACCAGTTCTGACACCAACCATCCTTCCCCTGGCACTCTCTACTTCTCTGTTGGGTTTGTTAATTCATTGCAATAGCCACACAGAATCACAGGCTATACTCACAGTTGTGGGGTTTCTTAGGAAAGTAACAGATTACAGTTCAGTACCAAGAAGGACTTTAGATGCAGTTCTTTGGGCAGGATAGTTTCTCAGCTGTGCCCATAGCCAGTCCTCTCAGCCCCTCAATCCCTGGAGCCCTCTACCCTTTGGTCTGGCCTCTATCCTGCTAAGGCATACATTACAAAGCACATCCCACTCTGCCAGTCAGCCTCGACCTGAAAGCTCTCAGCTCTCTTACTCCATGGGTCACCACATCCACTATAGCTACCGTGGGCTGGGAAACCCACCTCACTGTCTCCTGCCAGTCTCCTGGTTCTGCTGCTGCCATTTCTCTGCTGTGCTTGCCATCTCTTGTCACCGTCTCACACTTTCTCTGATGTTATAGCTCTGGGTTTAAGAGATTCTCAGCACAGGGACCCTAGGTCCAAAAGATACTCTGCTCACAACTCTTCTTGGTAATAATGAGTAAGTTCCCCCATTTTCCACTTCTGGGATTGGTTCCCTTTAAGCCTATCAAGGTAGCACAATTAACCAATCCCCTTGTTAGGGTTCCATGCACCTTACTTGCACGGCCCCTCCCCTTTTTAATATTTACGTTATTAACAGACTGTTCAATCCCCTTAGTAGGCCACAAGTACTTCATTTGTGTAGTCCCCCCCAGTTGTGTGGGAGTCACAAAGACTATAGCTGGAACTGAATTAAGTAATTCACTGCATTGCAGACAGCCGCATTTTAGAATTTCATTGTCAATAACCCTCTCTTGACAAATAGCATAAGTGAAAACTATTTGAGGGCTAAAATAGGGCATACAGTCAAATAAACCCTTAGTAAAAAATAGTAAAGGTTAATTTGAAAATATTTTTCTTATAGTGGAAGGAGTAGTTCAAAATCTTTAACCAACACCTAAAATGAAGCAACTGATGGGTGTATAGTTCTGCAGAACTCTGTTACAAGGTACAGAATTTTCCAGTCTAAAATTGTGCCAAAGTAATTTTACTTTGTTTTTCCTGTAGGTTGTGGTGGAATTAGAAAACGTAAAATCCGAAGCAGACCTGTTTAAAAAACAGCTAACAAGTGAGAGACAGACAATTAAAAACCTTGAATCATTGTTGGCTACAAATAGAGATAAAGAATTTCATTCTCATCTCTCCTCCCATGAGAAGGATACAGAAATTCAGTTACTTAAAGAGAAGTTAACCCTTTCAGAAAGCAAATTGTAAGTGTCTGAAGTCAGTCTGTGTGAGAAAAGTAGCTTATCAGTCTGTTCCCTTTTTAGGGGTAAGAAGGTAGCACAAAACCAAAATACTTGAGTTAGGTGTCTGCTGCTTTTGAAAATTTAGAGGAGTAGTAGTAGTTCAAGAGAGGCATCATGTTTTGACATTTAGATTTGGAGATCTTTAGTACACACGTGGCCCACTGGGAGTGGATGAGAAGAGTGAACTTTAGAAAAATGCCTAAATATGACAGGTGATCAGAGGGGTCAGTGCAGGACAGTGTTTCAGGGCATCAACTGTGTCTCGTGAGGTGAGAATGAAAGACTTAGAGACGGCCATGAGATTTGATCCTCACGAGGGTACGGATTACCTTGTAGGTTATTGATGATGGCATATTTAGGATAGAGAGGTTTGGGCATAATTGTTGGAAAAAGGGGAAGAAACCCAGAGCAGATAGCACAAGTGGGAGAATCAGCTCTTAAAAGGAGAGATATTTCTATAATTTTAAATCCTGTGCTTTTAACTCTACACTATATTTCCTAAAGCTTAGTCATTTCAGGTGAGAGTCAAAAGACAATAGACAGATTACATCTTAGTGTTACATACTTCATGTCCTGTTCAAATTTGTATGCCCAGAATAACTACTGTGACCACCACATAGTAGGAGCTCAGTTAATGTTTATTAAATGAATTGATGAATGAAAAGGAAGATTTTGTAATAGAAGCTTAGGGAATTATTGATAAAAGGTCTTCATGTTCTCTTTTTCCATCCTTAAGCATTACTAATAACAAAAACAAAAATCTGTAGCATGTGACTTCAAAAGAGAATGTTTCTTATTTTCTATTTGATTTTAAAATTTGATTTTTAGAACTTGCCAAAGCCGGGAAAACACCATGCTTCGAACTAAAGTGGCACAATTGCAAATAGATTATGATGCTATGAAAAGACAAATTGCAACTGAAAGGTTTGAACGGTAAGAAAAAACATTTAGCATTGGACAGTATTTTTACTTATTCCCAATCCTGTTGCAAAAAGGATTTAATGTGGCTTACAAATAGTCAACTTGTTTTCAGTATTAATACCTGAGCAAAATTCTTTTTAGTAATTCTTCCTAAAAAAGCAGCAAGTGTGTTATGGAAGATGATGTTAAAGCTAAACATAATAGCAAGTATTGTCTAATTATTTTCTGTAGCGTTCTTCAAGGGAAAATAAAGACATTATTTCAAAGAGCATAGATGGGGAACTAGCAAGCTAACAGGGATTCTACTATCACCACCAGTTGCCATCATGTCAGTTGCAGCTCATCTGTCAGAGTAGAACTGTGCTTCATAAGGTTTTCAATGGCTGGTTTTTTTAGAAGTAGATCACCACGTCTTTTTTCAAGGTGCCTCTGGGTAGACTTGAACCTCCAGTCTTTTGGTTAGCAACTGAGTCTGATAACCATTTGTACCACCAAGAGACTTCAATAGGGATTCTATAGGGGACTAAAACAAGTCCAAGTAGGAAAAGCAGTGATAATGGTGATGATAACAGCAGTTAACAAATATGTATCAGATAATATATATGTATCTGATTAACCCTTCCAACGATCTGTTTTTATGCCTGTATTACACATAGGGGAGACTAAGGTTTAGGATTGCAAAGTGATTTGCCTAAACTTACACAAATGGTGAATGGCAGAACCGACATTGAAATCCAAGTACGTGTGTCTGATTTTAAACCCTGTGCTTTTAACCTCTACAGTATGTTCGATACAACTTAGTCATTTTCATGCTCACTTCTTTTTCACTTCACTTGCTTTATATTGTTGAAAATTTGAATCCCCAAGTGATATAAACAGGAATGAGGCCCGCTTTACGAGTTAAAAGTTAAGTCTGATTTGCAAATTAATTGTCAAGTTACTTTTCTATTACTTTGTCCTACTATGTAAATGCCATAGGCACCAACATTCCTGAGATTTCATTCTCAAATAATGGTCACACTGTTTATTAGGTCAGTTTTTACATTCATTTATCTCTATCCATTTGCATCAAAAACTTTTGAGTCATGTGCTGTTTGGAGTATAGACCAGATTTGCTAGGAAGTCTGTTTTTGCTTCAGAGAAATGAAGCCTGAGGTTGCAACAATTAAATGAGATCAGTGTTTTTAATTTTTTGTAATTCAGAAGATACAGTTTCTGGATGTCCTGAACTGTGCTTATAGAGTGATTTCCATTTCCTCATGAAACCTACCAGCCACTCCTTGGAAGGAAGATTGGGCAATCTGCTTCTGTAGCGATACTACCTCGAAACCCAAGAAGGGGTCACTATGAGTCAAATCCACTTGACAGCAGTGAGTTTTAATGTTTTAATGATAATTTAAGGAGCTATGGTGGCACAGTGCGCCTTAGTCATTTGACTGCTAATCAGAAGGTTGATGGTTCAAACCCATCAGCCAATCTGTGGAAAGAAGATGGGGCAGTCTACTTCCATAAAGATTCACTGCCTCGGAAACCAAATGGGGGTCACTGTGAGTCAGAATCAACTCAGTGGCGGTGGGTTTAATGATAACTTAAATACTCTTCCATTCAAGGATCCTAAATTCTCTGTAGCCCAGGATTAGAGGCCCCTTTAGGCCCTCCCCTTTTTCTCTGCCCTCAATCCCCAAAGACGCTTGAGCCACATGACCATGTCTTATTTACTCCATACCATCCAAATAGGTCAGGCATACTTTTTCAAAAAACTTTGGGTAATTTATTCATATTAATAAACAACAAAAAACTACTTCAATACTAGAAACAAAACTACCAACAAAAACCAAAAAAACAAAACCCGAGATGGTATCACTACAGAAGTAGATTGCCTAATCTTCCTTGTTAGGAGTGGCTGATGGATTTGAACTGCCAGCTTTCTGGTTAGCAGTCAGATGCCTTAGGCGCTATGCCACCAGAGCTCCCAAAAGCTAGAATAGCGCTTGTTATTTTTTTCAGATACTATATTCCTCATAAAAATCCAATCTTAATGTTTCTATTATTTCTTTTGTAAGATAATTCGGCATCAAAGATTTTTACCAAATATCTTTACCATCAATCCTCCCTTTTCTAGTAATCATTAACATTCATGGTCTCATTTTTGCTCCATTCCATCACAACTTCATTCTTTTCTCAACTAAACACATTTTTACCAAGTGCTGGGGAATAACTCTAAAAACCACCACCAGTGCAATAAATGCTTGTGATTCAGATAACTGCAAGAGATACAATGTACCTTCCTGTGACTTTCTTAAAAATCAAGGAAAATATTGTACTACTGATGTTATTTGTATGCTTGATTTATATAATACACATTTGTCTTCTCAACGAGTTTTCCATAAATATTAAAATATCTTAAAGTACTGTTTCTTATAAATTTTCCAAAATAATTATTGGAGTCTCAAATTACTTAGTAGAAAAATACTGTCAGGCTACCAAACCTATGATTTAGACCAAAAAAAATTTTTTTTTCAAGAAAATGTAGAAATATTTACATACCATGTTACAATGAATCAATGAGTCAAAATCCACAATTACACATTCATTAAAATTCTGCACATCTTCCTCAGAATAATCAGTTTCTGTACAAAGATTTACAGATGTCCAGTGTACATAGTTTTTCCTCAGTGTGCTACAGAGTTTAGAGATTCTGTTCAGATATTCCCCAGATCAAGTGCAGAACCTGTCTCTTCATCAATTTCTCCAGTGACTGCAGCACAGTCACTGTTACGGTATATAATCCTACCACCACTTGTTCTATTCCCTATGAGGACCTGAATACTCATTCATGACTTACATCCAAAGTCAAATTAATGGTCTGGTAAAAACCTTTCAAGACTTCCCACAATCATTCTCCCATCAGAAGTAGCAACAGTAACAGTTCATTGATGTAGTTCTACAAAGAAAATGTCATGTCTGGCCTGGGAACTCAGAGCAACACCACAGTACCAGCAACAAGAGGTGCCAAAAAGGTCATACGTTTTTAAAGGGAGCAATATTGCTCTCCACCAAGGGGTAAAAATTGGTTCTTGGGGAGGGTGAAAAAACTTTAGATATTATAATGGGCCATAAACAGATACACAGTACATAAGCAGATATACAGTTGTTGTTGTTGTTGTTGTTATGTGCCGTCGAGTCAGACACGACTCATAGCGACCCCTCCTTGGATTTCTGAGGCATTATCACTACGGAAGTAGATTGCCCCATCTTCCTGCCGAGGAGTGGCGGGTGGGTTTGAACCGCCAGCCTTCTGGTTAGCAGTCAAGTGCCTGAGGCACTATGCTACCAGAGCTCCTAGATAAACAGTATACGTGTGATATTAAAATCTCATGGGGTAGGGAATAAGGAAAAAAAAAACATCTAAAACAGCTCTTTAGCTGGTCATGTTGTAAGAAGGGATCATTCTCTGGAGAAAGATGTTCATGCTTGGTAAAGTGGAGAGTAACCTAAAGAGAGGAAAGCCCTCACCAAGATAGACTGACACAGTAGCTTCAGCGATGGGCTCAGGTGTAATAGGGATCATGAGGCTGGCACAGGACCAGGCAGTATTTCGTTCTGTTGTACACAGGGTCGCTGTGAGTTCGAGACAACTCAGTGGCACATAACAACAACCACCAGCTCCTTAGGAAGAAAAGATTGAAAAACACAAGTAGGTAGAAACCCTGGATACTGAAGAACTCATAGCAGAAGAAAGTCTAGACCAGAGAGTGGACAGCCCCATAAGGAGATGACAGCATAGTCACCATGCTCTGTGAGATTCAACGCAGACATACGAAAGGAAAGCAATATAGAGAAGATGTTTATTTCTCACATTTCAGAGGTTTGAGGCAGGAAGAGGCCTAAACATATGCAGGAAGAAATGGGAAAGGAAGGGAACCTACCAACTTGGAAAATCTATACTCGGGCATGAGGAAATTCTAGGGCTTTAGAAAAGTGTATATCCCCCTAGACTAAAGTATAAATGACTGGTTTTTGTTTTGTTTTGTTATTGTGATTTGGATGAAAGTTTACAGAGCAAATTCCCTTTCCATATAGCAGCTCACATACACGTTTACACTTTGTCTCATGACATTGACTGCAGTTTCCCAAAATGTAACAGCTTCCCTCCCACTTCCTCCCCATAGTTACCTCTTCCCTGTGTCCTTCCCTCCCATGCACTCCTGCCCCAAAAGCTGTCTCCCTGTGTATACACAGCCCTTCTGTTGTCCCATGATTGATCTCTCCAAGGAGTGTATCTACCTAATGTAAATGTTCAACTCATAAGCCTGTCTTTTGTTGGGCTGGAAGCCACAGGAGTGGGTTCAATTGCAGACCTGAAGTGCAGGTAGGGGCCATAATCTCAAGGGTTCCATGAGGCTCTGTCAGACCAGCAAACCTGGTCCCTTTTTTTTTTTTTTTTTAATGATTTTGAGTTTTGTTCCACATTGTTCTCCCACTCTATCCAGGATCTCCTGCAGAGATCCCCCTCTGAGTGGTTGACAGTGGTAGCCAGGCACCATCTAGTTCTTTTGGTCTCATAGTCATTAAGGCTGAGGATCGCATGGTGAACCAGTCGCTTGGACTAATTGTTTCCATGCGTCTTTGATTTTCTTCACTCTTCTTCACTCTGGATGAGGAGAGACCCATCATTGCATCTAGATGGGCTGCTTGCAAGCTTTTAAGATCCCAGTCTCTACTCACTACAGTAGGATGTGGAACAATGTTTTTGTGTAGTGTGTTATGCCAGTTGAGCTTGATGTCCCCTGTGACTGTGGTCCCAAGCCCACAAGTCCAACTCTTGGCTCCCTCAGGGTAGCTGGCTATGGCCAAGAAGTGACTACGGCCTTGTCCCTTGTCAGCTGTACTATATACCTAGGAATTCTTATAGAACACTTAACTACACTTGTAGAAACATTGTTTGCCAACCCTATACGTTGTCATAGGCACACTCCCCCTTGCATAGACATACCTAATAGTTCAGCCTGTGCACCTATCTGTCCACCCATATATCACTGTTTGCCATCACTGACAACGCAGTAGTGTATGTGCAAAAGGGTTCATCTTTGTTGTCTGTACTTCCTATTCAGCTTTCTGTGTCTTCCTCTTCCTCAGTGCCACCATGTTAATCACTCGCATTTGGTACATTGCCCTTCTCTTCCCCCAAATCAATACTTGTCTCTACCTAACAGTGTTCCCTCCCTTACCCTCCCACCTCTGGTAACCAACAAAGAAAATTTCCTTCCATATATAAACCTTTCTTTGACTTTTTACAATAACAGACTAACACATTATTAGTCCTTCTGTGATTGACTTATTTCACTCTGCATAATGTCCTCCAGGTTCATCCATGTTATGCAGTCTTTTGCAGATTCTACATTATTTTTTTAGGATTGCATAATATTCCATTTTGTGTATGTACCATAGTTTGCTTATCCATCCTTCTGATGATGGGCACCTAGGTTGTTATCATCTTTTTGGTATTGTAAAAAGTGCTACGATGAACATGGGTATACATGCATATATCTGTTCTTGTCATGGCTCTCACTTCTTTAGGATATATACCTAGTAATGGAATGGCTGGGTCAAATGGTATTTCTAATTCCAACTTTTTAAGGAATCATCATACTGCTTTCCACAGTGGTTGTACCAGCAGTGTATGAAAGTCCCAATCTCTCTGCCTTCTTGCCACCATTTGTTATTTTCTGTCTTGTTGAACTTTGCTACTAGTGCTGGGGCCAGATGGTATCTCATTGTTGTTTTGATTTACATCTCTGTAATGTCTGATGATCGTGAGCATTTCTTCATATGTTTGTTGGCAGCCTGAATATTCTCTTTGGTGAAGTGTCTGTTCATGTCTTCTGCCCATTTTTTCGTTGGATTATTTGTCTTTTTGTTGTTGAGGAGTTGGAGTTTTGTAAATTCTAGAGACAAGTACCTTGTCAGATATGTAAATGACGGTTGCTGAATCAGTCAGAAGAAAGTGAGTGAGTACATGTGCCTAAAAACAGGAAGTGGGTGTCATATTAGGGTAATTTAACAGGGTAGGACACCTAAGAGTAAACTGCATAGATGTTAGTGTCTCAAACCAGAACTCACTGCCATCAAGTCAATTCCAACTCATAGCATCCCCCATTGGGTTTCCAAGGTGGTTAATCTTTATGGAAGTAGATTGCCCAATCTTCCTCCCACAGGGTGGCTGAGTTTGAACCATCAACCTTAGCAGTCAAATGCCTTAGGTGCTATGCCACCAGAGCTCCTTGTTAGTATCCCAGTCTTTCTAAATTCAGCTCAGTATGATAAAAAGAGTCTGTTATTACTGGCTGTTTCTTTGCACAGTTCTCCAAATATTGTTTCCATTATAGCCAGGCACTATGCCAATACCAGGAATACCAAATCAAATAAATAAGGTACTCAAATGAATAATGAATTTCCAAGGAACCTAGTATAATAAGCAAGACACATACACCATTTAAAAGCAGTATGGAACTGCAGGTATGGAGATGGGTGTAGGATTTTATGGTCACATTGGGTACCTAACCTAGCCTGTGGTTAGTGTGTGTAGAAGAAAAGGACCCAGCAAAAGAACTAAGGAATGGCCACCTAGGTAGAGAATTAGGACCAGGGTCATTTTTCATAGAAGTCAAGAGTGAATAACAGCATCAAATATGTTAGAAAGGTAAGTAAGTTAAGGAATTTGCCTGCAAATGTGCAGGCATTTACTTTTTAAGAACAGGTAAAACAGGTACGTTCTACATTTAAAAAGTGTTGCAAGTATAAAGAAGAAAATCAAAGCTATCTATAAATTGTACCTTCCATAAATACTATTAACATCTGGGAATTTAACCTCTAGTCATGTATTTTTGTGTGTATGTGTGCTTATATTATGTATACGCTGTTTCCTGTTTTATAACCTACTTTTTCAAGAAATACATTGTGAAGATCTTGCTTCTAAAGTATTTTAATGACAGCCTACTATTTTGTCCTTGAGTAGGACAGATGGTTAACATGCTTGGCTGCTAACTGAATGAAAGGTTAGAAGTTTGAGATTACCCAAAGAAGCCTTGGAAGAGAGGACTGGCAATCTGCTTCCAAAAAATCAGCTATCAAAACCCCTCGGGACTACAGTTTAACATACGTGGGATCACCAGGAATCAGAACTGACTTGAGGAAACTGGAACTGGAACTATTATTAGGCCTACAATTAGGATTTTCCCACAATTGCTTTAAATAATCTCTTTAATATGTATTATTTTAATTGACAGATTTTTATCCATTAGTCAGAATTTATACAAGGACTTTAGTAAAAATACTAATTAATTTAATAGAAAATACTTAATTAGCTAATATCAGTAATAATACTTTGTATGGCGCTTCATGGTTTTTCATAGTGTGTTATCTCTCTCGTTTGATCTTTACCATCAGAGAACGAGCAATCCAAGAGATGCGTCGACATGGTCTTCCTACGCCACCCCTTAGTTCTACTCTGCGATCTCCTTCAAATTCTCCTGAACTTATTAACTTATGATTATCAGAAAGGTATGTGTGTGTACTACCAAGAACAGACAGTACTGACCTTTGGTGATAAAACTTTGTGGAGGAAGAGGAGATTGCCGGTAAAGGTTTTCAGGGGCACTTTTTTTGGATAGTGAAAATGTTGTGTGTTTTGATGATAGTGTTTACAGAGGTATGTACAATTATCAAAATTCATTGAAATGAACACTTAAGGTCCATGCACTTTGTTTTAAGTAAATTATACCTCAATTAAAAAAGAAGTCATCCACAATAAAATGTTAAATGATGTTGTGAGATATCACAGGGTAATACTTGATGAAGTACTAAATTCAGGGTATAAGTAATAGGTGAGAAAAGTGTGAATACAGGCAGATAAACTGGAATGTACTTGGTGCAGTGGACTCTCTCTGGCTGGAATGGTAGATTATGGGGGAAGAATGAAGGAGAAAAGTTTAGGAAGTAGAATGGGATAGGAAGCCAAAACCCACTACGAAATTGATTCCGACTCTTAGTGACCCTATAGGACAAAGTGGAACTTCCCCATTGGGTTTCCAAGCTATAAATCTTTATGGAAGCAGACTGCCTCATCTTTCTCCTGCAGAGCTGTTGGTGGGTTAAGACTGCTGACCTTTTGTTAGCAGCTCAATAATTAGCAGCAACAATCGTTGCTATGTTCGATCACATTGTTGTACCCAGAGCTCCTTACAGACTAAATATGAGTGTTTTGCTAAATCGGAGATTGCAAGTTATTCTGTAGGTCATGGGAAACCATTGAAGATGCTCCTGTGTATAGTACATATACAAGGGTAGGGTTAAGATGAACCCATTAATTTCACAACTGTATTTGGGCCAAATTGAGGAAAATGGAAACTAGAGGTAGGAAGAATAGTAAGAGGTATGAAATGATGACAGTTTAGGATCAGATTAATAGTAATTGAAAATAGGACAGATAATTTTAAATTAAATTATCATACACATACAGAAAAATGTCATAGGTGAATAGCTCATTGATTTTCACACATTGAATACACCTACCTAGCCTGGAATCAGTAAAGAAAATTCAGTTTGGGGCACCTAGGTCCCTGTGGAATGTTCAGTAGATACATGTATGTGAGTCTGAAGCACAGGGCAGAACTAAAGATGTAGATTTGAGAGAGTTTTCCTACCTGCATATAATGGATCCTTGTAAATAACGCCCATGTTGTGCATAGACTAATGAGTAAAGTGGTTGCTCAGTTCACAAAAACCTGTATACCATGCACATTACTTGCATAAAATTACAGTATGTGTCCTACATCAAGATAAAGGAACTAGCCATTAACCAATCACTGTTAGGCTTTCTTTTATTCATAAGTCCACCTCTAAAAGTAACCACTGTCCTGGCTGTTAAAAGCAGAGTTTCCCAACCTAGATGTCCAACAACTGAGGAATGGATAACCAAACTTTGGTACATTCACACAATGGAATACTATGCAACGCTAAAGAATAATGTAGAATCTGCAAAACACTGCATAACGTGGATGAACTTGGAGGACATTATGCTGAGTGAAATAAGTCAGTTGCAAAAGGACAAATATTGTATTAGTCCGTTATTGTAAAAGTTAAGGAAAGGTTTATATATTGGAGGACATTTTCTTTGTTGGTTACCAGGGGTGGGAGGGGAGGGGAGGGAATGCTGTTAGATAGATAGAGATAAATATTGATTTGGGTGAAGAGAAGGGCAATGTACCAAATGTGAGTGACCAATATGGCAGCATTGAGGATGAGAAAGACATAGAGAGTTACATGGGCAGTACAGACAACAAATATGAACCCTTTTGCATATACAGTACTGAGTTGTCAGTGAAAGCAAACATGGGTATAGGGACAGATAGATAGGTGAACAAGCTAAACAATTAGGTATGTCTAAATGGAGAGTGTATCCAAGATCATATATAGGGTTGGCAGACAATGGGCCTATAAGTTCATGTGAATGATCAGAATTCCCAGGTGTATGTATAGTAGAGCTGACAAGGGGCAAGGTTATGGTCATTACTTGGTCACAGCCAGCTACCCAGAGGGACCGAGTAGTTGATCCTACGGGCTTGGGACCATAGTCGCAGGGGACATCAAGCTCAATTGGCATAAGATACTATACAAAACATTGTTCCACCTACTACTTTGGCGAGTAGCGACTGGGACCTTAAAAGCTAGGAAGCTGCCATCTAGATGCAACAACGGGTCTCTCCTCGTCAAGAAGAAAGAAGAAAACCAAAATGAATGGAAACAATCAGTCCTAGCGACTGGTACACCATCCGATCTGCAACCTATACAACTATGAGACCAGAAGAACTAGATAGTGCCCAGCTACCACTGCCATCCACTTGGAAGGGATGTAGGAGATCCTGCATAAAGAGGGAGAGCAATGTGGAACAAAACTCAAAATCATTTGGAGGCAAAAAAAAAAAAAGAAGGTGGGGACCAGGTTTGCTGGTCCAGTAGAGCCTGGTGTAACCACTGAGACTATGGCCCCTAGCTGCCCTTCAGGTCTGGAATTGAACCCACACCTGTGGTTTCCAGCCAAACAAAGTACAGGCATGTAAGTTAAACATTTACCTCAAGTAGACACACGCCCTGGAAAGAACAATCATGGGAGAAGGAAGGGCTGCTTATGCACAGGGAGATAGCTCAGGGTGCAGAAGAGTATGAAGGGATGGACACTGGGAGGAGGTAACTATGGGGAGGAAGTGGGAGGGGAGCTGTTGCATTGTAAATTTTGGTCAATGACATGAGACAAAGTATATGTGAACTGCTGTATGAAAAGTGAATTTACTCTGTAAATCTTCACCCAAATCCTAATAAAAAAAAAAAAAGCAGAGTTTCATTTGTCTGGTTTTGGACATTTTATAAATGAAATTATATATTTCTGTTTTCTTTTGCTCAGCAGTGTTGTTGTATTTTAGTTAGGTGCCATCAAGTCTGTTCTGACTCAGTGACTCTGTGTACAACACAGTGAAACACTGCCTAGTGCTCAAAACTCATCCTCAACAGTCATTGCTATGTTTGATCACATTGTTATACCCACTGTGTCATTCAGTCTTGTTAAGGGTCCTCTATTTTTTGCTGACCTTCTCCTTTGCCAAGCTCTGGTGGCACAGTGCCTAAGGAATTTGACTGTTAACCAGGAGACTGGCTGTTAGCCAGCCACTCCATGGAAGGAAGAGCAGGCAATCTGCTTCCATAAAGGTTTACTGCCTCAGAAACCCAGTGGGAGTCACTGTGGGTCAGAATTGACATGATAGCAGTGGGCTTGGTTTTTTTGTTTTGTTTTGTTTTTTTCTCTCCTTTGCCAGGTACGATGTCCTTCTCCCGGGACTAGTCTCTCCTAATAACATGTCCAAGGTATATGAGATGAAGTCTTGCCATCCTCAATTTCAAGGAGCTTTGGACTGTACTTCTTCCTAGACAGATTGGTTTGTTCTTTTGGCCATAGTATATTCAGTATTCTACACCAACACCATTTATTGTGATGTTCGTTATTGGTCCAGTTATGAGGATTTTTGTTTTTATTATGTTGGGAGTGTAATCCATACTGAAGGCTCTAGTCTTTGATCTTCATCAGCAAATGCTTCAGGTCATCTTCACTCTCAGCAATCAAGATTGTTTCATCTGCATATCACAGGTTGTTAATGAGTCTTTCATCAGTCCTGATGCTGCATTTTTCTTCATATAGTATGACTTCTTAGATTATCTGCTCAGCATGCAGATTGAATAAGTGTGGTGAAAGGATGCAAACCTGGTACACTCTCCTGATATTAAGCCATATAGTATCTCCTTGTTCTTTTTGAATGACTGCTTTTTTTTTTTTTTTTACCTATGTACAGGATCCACATGTTCTGGAATTCCCATTCTTTGTGATGTTATACATAATTTGTTATGATCCACACAGTCTAATCCTTTTACATAGTTAGTAAAACAAGGTACACATCTTTATGGTGTTCTCTCCTTTTAACCAAATTTATCTGACACCAGCAATGATATCCTTCATTGAACATCCTCTTCTAAATCTAACTTGAATTTCTGGCAGTTCCCTATTGATGTACTGCTGCAACCATTTTTTAATTATCTTCCACAAAATGTTTCTTGCATGTGATATTAATGATATTGTTTGATAATTTCTGTATTCTGTTGGGTCACCTTTTTGGAATGGGCACAAGTGTGGATCACTCCAAGTAGGTTGGCCAGCTGTCTCCCACATTTCTTGGTATAGACGTATGAGTGCTTCCAGCATTGCATCCATTTGTTGAAACATCTCAATTAGTGTTCTGTCAGTTCCTGAAGGCTGCTTGTCACCAATGCCTTATTCTTGAGATGATCTCTAAATTCAGGTGGGATATACTCTAGGTCATATTTTGGGTCTCGTGGACTTATTTTCTTCAACTTGAACTTGGACATGAGCAACTGATAGTCTGTTCTACAGTTGGCCCTTGGCCTTACACCAGTGCTATTGAGCTTCTCCATCACCTCTTTCCACAGATTGTACTCAGTTTAATTCCTGTGAATTCCATCTGGCAAGGTCCATGTGCATAGTTGTCGTTTATGTTGTTCACAAAAGGCATTTGCAATGAGTAAGTCTTGCAAAGCTTTATCATGCAACTTACGAAATCATTTCTGTCACCAAGGCTATATTTTCCAACTACAGATGATGCTGCTTTGTTTCCAACTTTCACATTGCAATCACCAGTAATTATCAATACACCTTGATTGCATGTTTGGTCAGTTTCAGGCTGCAGAAGTTGATGAAATCTTTAGTTTCTTCATCTTTGACAATAGTGGTTGGTACATTAATTTGAATAATAATTGTATTAATTGATCTTCCTTGTAGGCGTCTGGACATAATCCTATCACTGACAGCATTGTACTTCAGAATAGATCTTGAAATGTTTTTGACAATGAATATGATTCCATTCCTTTTCAATTTATCATTCCTGGCATAGTAGACTATGATTGTCCAATTCAAAATGGTGAATACCA